TTGTTACATAGACACTTTATTATACGTGAAAGTTTCATGCGAATAGAAGCTAGTAGTGCAGTTATAGGTGGTTGACCCGTTTAGTATGCGTTAAAGTGCTGCTCTTCCGTGAAAATCGGTGAATTTTATTCGTAGGGAAATATTTGTGGTTGAATTGTTGTTTTATGTGTGGTTAAATTGTTATTTCATCCGTGGTTAAATTTTATTTAACTTTATTATACTCGTGGTATTATCGTGATCGATTATAGCCGCGTTGCAGTTTTGCGACGTAGCATAATTTGTGTCCTGGGGTTTTGCAATGTTGCACGGGAAATATTGCGTGCTTATGCATTTCTGCTGTTTAGCCCTTATCGTATTTTGACGACCACATATTTTATCGAATGACTCATAATTCTATATTTTGGTTTATTTGAAGATCTACTGTTTTTATAATACTTGCTACAAAATTAAAAAATTTCATATTTTTATTAGAATATAATACAGTTAATAGAAAGTGCTGATAGTGTACATAAATCTTGTTTTAATTAAATAGTCTTAATACTATTTTTCTTCTTTCAGTCTGTCTGTAAAAATATATTTCTTAACTTAAACTAAATTCGATGAAGAATGTGTACATATTTATAAAAGTATGTTTCAGTAATTTAATTTGATCCATCAGCAATTAAATTTGATCAAGGTGAAAACCATTTTCTGCGATCTTCGATAATTAGTATCTTCTCTTGAGAAATACAAGACAATATGTTTGAAAGGAAGTGTTCAATTTGTAGATGAAATAAAAACTCTATTAAAGCTATCAGTGAAACGCGAAAATAAAAATATAGTTTCGTTGTATAGTATTTTATGAAATAGAGTGTGCTCTTAATTAATGATTTCCTAATTGGTTTTTCTGAAAAGTTATTAGATACAACTGTTTGTGAACATCAATAATTGGATATATGAAGAAAATAAAATTTCTATCAGAAGAAATAAAAAAAGTAACAATTTAATTTCATCGCAGATTATTTCCAAAATTAAAATTTTTTACTTAACAATATTAGGTAGAAATGTAATATAAATAAAACATACACACTATAGTAAAAATGATCACTGACAATTGGATATAAATTTTTTAATTTCCTTTGTAACATAAATACAACATAAACAATATAGCAAAAATTATCATTGACAATTAAATATAAATATTTTAATTAAATTTCTACTGTGCAGACATCAGTGCTGCAATAATTTTTTAATAAGTTTCAAAACATCCATCAGAAAGAATATGTAATTCTTCATATTTCACATGTAAATCAGTATTATTTATTTACTCGCCCTTTCAAGGATGCCTAACACGATCAATATCTATATTATCAATATTTCAGTATTATCACTATTATTGAACGTTTGAGGGAAGATAATGATTGTCAATATTTAAATACTGAGGTGACACGATAAAAATGAAATATTTCTTTCTTTCGATTAGACAACCTTGAACTCCATCAGGAAATTAAATGTATCGTCTAGAAAGAAACAATTTGTCAATAAGTATTAATGAGTATAATTATGTATTGATTATTTAATATCACATCACTTGTTACTGAACATAAATACAATACATGCATAATATATTTAATATGAATATGTGTGCAATATATTTAACATAATACTCACATGGTATTTAAATTTTAAAATAAATTTAACATAATACCTACATGGTATTTAAATTTTTAAATATATTTAACACACCACAAACATGATATTAAAATTTTTAAATATATTTAACACAACACAAATATATTGCTTAAATTTTTAAATATGTTTAACACACCACGAACATGATGTTAAAATTTCTAAATATATTTAACACAACACAAATATGTTCTTTAAATTTTTAAACATATTAAACACAACACTAACATGATACTTAAATTTGTAAACATATTTTAACGCAACTGACATTTCCTTTAAACTTTCAAATACATGTAACACGGCACAGAAAAATTATTTATTTGGAATTCATTTCGTGTTTACGAAACGATGCCGAAATATCCTTCGAGTCTTGTATTTCCATCCACAATCAAGAATTCGAGAACGAAAAGCAATCATGTTTCTCCGTTGTTCGATTCTAACGTTACATTATTCGTTAGTTTCGTTTTTCAACGCTAACGCAGAATGAGACAGGATATTGCATTTCCAGCCGGCAATTGGATGACATTTGTACAGGAAGAAAAATGGAGAAACTGAACTTTCCACGTAGCTAGACCAGAGCTAATAAGATATCTTAGCGTGTGGTAAAGAAACTTACGTGATTCCGGATTCTTAGTGAATTGCATTTCGAAATCGACGAATATCACGGCTTACGAAACACGCATGAATTTTCTATAAAAAATTACGTAAACTGTGCTACTTTTTCTCATATTGTGTTATGTAATTGCAAATGGCTTGCGCTCGTGGGAGTTTTGAATGGTCAGTGGACAAAGGATTTGATTACAGTATTTTTTTGTATGAAATAACCTTAAATTAAAATTACTATCAAAATTAGTAATATTTTTATGATATGATGCTCTTAAAATTCAGATATTTTTATTTATATTTCTATTAACTCAACATGGTACAATTTTTACATACATAAATTAAAATTAGACTCGTGTTTAATAATTTGTACGAAGACAGCGATTAGTCACTTGAAACTTCAAATTTTTATTTAAATTAACTTCATGTAATCTTTGCATAGATAAATTAAAATTAGTTACTTAAATTAATTTTATAGACTGTTTGCATTCGGAAAAAGTAAAGTTAGCATTAGTAAAATTAGTGATTTAAAAATCTGAATCAATAGTATAATTTACTCCTTCATTCTCATTTTTAGTTGAAAGATAGTTAGTCTTGTTTTCATAATTTGTTAAAAATAGTATAGACAATTAAAAAATATTTATTAGAATATTAATAACTATGAAATGAACAGTAAGTATCTTATTATTTTACAATCTATAACTTTGTTCATAGCTCATAAATTAAAATTAATATATAATATCACTATGAAAAATAATAGTTCATAATTCATTTCATATCATGTAGTAATTGCAACATAAAAATTTTGTAGCAAGCATTATAAAAGCTCCCAAGCCCTTTTTAATCCTTTTTCAATATAAACCAAGAATTAATTTCATAAGTCAAATATCAAATAAATATTAATAAAATTTTCAAGTGGTACTCAATAAAATCCATATATCAATTTAGGCTGTGTTGAAAGTACACAGTGTTAAAGTAACTTGAATCGATTGGCAGGCTAAGTGGACTCTAGAAGGTTAATCTCTTGAATGATCTCATTACTGTCTCACATGCTCATAAGTGTATTTTCATTGTATGAAATCATTCTTTGCTCAGAAGTGCATACGTCTCATCTCTGAGAAAAACTCGAAAAAATACAATAACATAAAGTGCAATACCATAAAATATAATAATATTGATGATGAATTTAATAGTAGGACATTTATTGTACCAATAAATAATGTAAAAATGGTTGAAAACTTGCATTCTCCAGAAATAAAAAACACGAGGTTGTACACTTTTTTTATATCAAACTGTGTTTCTTGGTTGTGGTCATAGCATTGGTGTCGTGGTCGTTCACGCATTTAATAGGTCATAATTGTTTGATACTTTCCGTGTAAATTCCACAACGTTGAATTTGTTGTATTTTTTAATTGCCGGTGATTCATCGATGAGTTGCATCATGTACCTCAATCGATTGCAACTAATGCTTATATTTGTCTCCATTATCTGAAAACTATAAAACATTTACAGAAAAATTTACAAATTGTGACATCTGTTCATAATGCCCAATTCACATTTAATCCTACCTTTCAGTGCGTATAAAAAAGTGTCACTTTTCGCAAAAATATAAATAATTTCTAATTTACTCATCCATGAAAGTGTTACAAACATGTAAATTACAGTAATTTGAAACAGCAAATAACGTTAAATACCGCAGTGAAAATGGATACGTATAGTCAGACACGTTATAATTGTATTTATTCAAAATCACTTCATTTTCTACTTCCTCGTGAAATTAATATTAATGTCGTTTACAATTTTCTCTCGGTCATTTGACCACGTTACGTGGTGTCATCAGTGACCCTCATGTGTACAACGTGTTAATCCATATTACAGTTTGCCGGATTACATATGTATATTTCTACCGTGGCATCTCGTTAACACGTTTATTGCTTCAGTGAAGGCACATTAGAATTACAATTTCATATTCAGATCTTCAATTTTCAATTGAACTTAATTCCACAAAAGAACGCATATTTTCTTTCATTCCAATTATGTACCGATAAATCCCCGGCAGTAATCGAACCTAGAAAAATGTTAATAAATTAATTTTCCTGTATATCGCCTTACTATTAATATTTGTGTCCTATAAGCAATTATTTAATGAAGTTCGTTTCAACGCAGTATAATACTTCCGTCCCTCGTAAAATCTCATAATTGACCGCTTATTCATTCATCCTTGAAAAATGTCAAATCGTAATGCGACAGGTATTTTGACAGTAGATCTTGAACAGAGAACCAGTCGCTGATCTCTTAAAAATATCATTTCTCGAATTAAAACAGGTTATCGCGTAAATAAAGTTTGCATAATATTCGAGGAATATTTGTTTTTCGTACAACCATATTCGGGTATTGATGATATTCGAAGGCAGCGCCAAAATATGCGACTCGGTGCCAAAATGTATTTCACTATAACCTACCACAATGCAAGTTGCGAATCCCGGCTAACAGTTATCCGAATAAAGAAACTGTCGCGATGAATAAAGATGAAAGTGTTGTACGACATTCGAATATGTAAAGTGTCAATCCTTAATCGTAGAAGTTATATACGTCGTTTATTTGCGCGTAATCGTTTAAGAAGAACGTCGTAAAGACTGTAAGAACACATTGTGACGTCGTAGCAGAGACAAGCATGCTTCGTCGTAACCAGAAAGCGTTACTCTACTGTGAATTGTTTGGACTTTCAGAGGAGGACGAATCACAGATTTTCGTGAAGTTCTTCAAATTTCACAAATGTTACGACCTAATACCGACCAGTGCCAAACTGGTCGTTTTCGACACCCATCTCCTTGTCAAGAAGGCCTTCTTTGCTCTGGTTTACAATGGTGAGTAACAGTTGTTTTGTTTACCACATTTCATCGAGATGGTGTCTGTGACATGGCATGTTGTACGTGCAGGTGTGAGAGCTGCACCACTATGGGACAGTGCAAGACAAGAATTTGTTGGGATGTTGACTATAACAGACTTTATAAAAATCTTACAAATGTACTATACCAGCCCATCTGTAACAATGGATGAATTGGAAGAACATGAGCTAGATACATGGAGAAGTAAGTACTTAGTTGATATTGGCACATATTAGCCAATATTGTCCTATAAATTTGTCGTATAATCGTTTGTCTCTTTGTTTTAACCATTACAGAAGTCTTAAAGGATGAGGTTCATCCATTAGTGAGCATTAGTCCAGATGCATCCCTGTATGAGGCCATTAAAACATTAATTCAGAATAGAATTCATCGTTTGCCTGTGATAGACCCAGACACTGGAAATGTTCTATATATCTTGACACACAAACGAATTCTTAGGTTCCTCTTCCTTTATGTAAGTAGCATACAGTTATAGATACCTCTATTTTCATAATGTAATTAAATAATAATATGTGCTATGTTATTTTAATTCAACGATAGATACATGAGCTACCAAAACCATCATTCACTGATAAAACATTGAGGGAGTTAAGGATAGGTACATTTGAAAATATAGAAACAGCAACAGAAGAAACTAGCATAATTTTAGCACTCAAGAAATTTGTTGAAAGGAGAGTTTCAGCATTACCAATTATTGATTCTGAAGGGAAGTTGGTTAACATTTATTCAAAGTTTGATGTTATTGTAAGTATATTTTTGGAGTCCATTTACATACTCTAACTGTTGATGTTAATTGATTTTTATATTTTTTCAGAACTTAGCTGCAGAAAAAACATATAACAATTTAGATGTTTCATTACGTGAAGCAAATGAACACCGTAATGAATGGTTTGAAGGAGTTCAAAGTTGTAAATTAGATGAAACCCTGTTTACTATTATGGAAAAAATTGTTAGAGCAGAGGTATAATTCTTTTAATTATTTATTATTTACATAAAAAAAAATGCTATTATACAAAATTTTCTATTACTGATTTTGAAACAAAAATTTTTCAGGTTCATAGGCTAGTAGTGGTTGATGAAGATGATAAAGTGATTGGTATAATTTCTCTATCTGATCTACTCTTCTACCTCGTTCTTAGGCCTTGTGGTAAAAATATTTGTTGAATTCCATGTTGTGCAGTCTTGTTATGTGACTCCCTTTTTTATGACCCTCACTTTTATGTTCATAAACATTTTGAAGTTTCAAATTTAGGAACCATGCAGAATTTTGTTCCTGCAGCCCCATATAGGAGCATGTAGCAAGGCTCCATTGCATTTTCAATTAGAATCACTAATAGAAATCAATAGTAAATAAATGTTAATTTGTAGGTGAAGATGGCAGTAGCAATAAAGATAGTTCTATTTCGTTAAGAGCACAGGATTCTATTACATCAAAGGCACCAAGTTCTGCACAGTCGGAGTCCTCTATTCCCGATGGTGAAGCAGAAGGTGATCAAGACACAGCTGAAGTGACTCAACCTGAAGAGGCAACCGCAACACCTAGTCCACCGCTGAGTCCCGCAACGTCAGATATTTCTGAACCGCAGTCTGCTTTAGTAAATCAGTCACAGGAATCCGCTTGGAGAGAAGTAACTGTGTCAGGAGGAGAATGAGGAAATGCCATCTTAGCGTGCTATTAAGCACGAAATTGTGAATTACGTACGACTTTAACGTCACAATTTTCAATGCAAAAGCAGCAAACAGCGAACGAATAAGCATACTATTTTTCGTCTGTTCTTAATGCTTGTATTCCCCTGCACTTAAGAATTTGCGAAAAAAAAAATCATTGTTCTGTGCTCCTTCGATCAGTTTATGTCACAAAAGATAACTGTTATCAGAAATAACTAAGTCACGCTGAGCGAGAAAATAGCGAAAGATTTACTGGACGCGACGAATAACGATGATGCATCACCTGCATATTGTATAAAGTTGATTAAGCTTAATTTTTTATGGTACAAACGCTACTCAGCATAGACGTTCAAGCTTCTTGCCAGGAACGATTGCTACGCCATTATCTGCTCAGGGTATATTTCCACACCCTTTCTTCAATCGTACGCTGGAAATGTTTTACAATATTGAGAAGAAACGAATACTTGTTTCATCTTTTACATTTGTAACCGTTACTATGCTCTATTGACGGAACCTTCGTATTTTATTTCTGATCAAAGATTATGAAGTAATTTTACTTTATTTACGTGAAATAGCTTAATGAACGTGCCGACGAGACACGAAACGAGCGTAACCGTGTATCGAAGAGTGCTCCATAATTAATAAATATGGACCTCGTTTACAGAGGCCTTCCACGCTTTTTCCTGACAGGAACGAACGCTACAGTTTTAAGCAAATGTCTACATATGTATTATCCTGTATGCTTATCTACGAAAAAAAAATAGTTTCTTGTTCGTGAACTATCGCGTTAGATGTTTCAATATTAGAAACCGACGTGCATAATAAATAATTCTGTTTTAAATGATTGCACAGCATGTGATACATTTTACAAAAAAGAAAAGCAACAAAAAAAAGAACAAAAACCACGGTGCTTTTGATTTTGCATTAATAACCGATTCTGATGTAGCTACTAAACGGAAATAGTACGCATGAAATAACTAATGAACAGGAAAAGACAAATAATAATTACAATCTGTAAAATTGATTGTGTTGTCGTGCAAGTTATGTGATGTATCTGCAACAGGACATTTATGTTCAGGAAAGGTATACTTAAATGAATTCAATTTTATGTTTTTAAAACTTTAACGTTTATTGCTTTATGTATCTTTATTTTTTGAATTATTTGAAACGGAAATATATAATGAAATATTAAAAGGCCTACAGACCGTTAAAAAGGGAAACGATTTAGTCTTGAGCATACGCTGCCAATAATTTTTTAGTCAATACTTTGAAAACGAAGTTACTGTGGTATATTAAAATTATTTACAAACGAATTCAATCATGGACATGTTTATTGTACATTTACTTTACATTTGTGTAGATATACGTTTATTTAATACCGCTTCTTTATGTACGTTTGTCATGTTTGTATCTGTTTTACATGAAGTTTTTATGAATTAACTATATTACCTTTGTAAATTTTCTTTTGGAATAGAAGACACGAAAACGCGATGCTTTTATATGATTTGTGACCACATTTTGTATATTTATGTAATTATTAAGAAGGATGTAACTAACATCACGTAAGACATGAATGGAACATTTTGTAATTATGTTTTATATTGTTATTAATTGTTGTATACAGGGCTGGCGCGAAACAGATTAACAGAGATTCCACACGAAATTGAGAACCGAGTTAATCATTTTGATTTCAATACCAACTTTCAAGCGTTCCGAATTAAAAACTTACATTTATGTATTTATATAAATTTTTTGGATCCATGCAATTTTATCGTTCTAATGTTCGCGTCAGTCTTGATTACATGTGAAGAAAAAAAAAGAAAATGGTTAATTTTAGAGACCATAGAAATTACTTCTTATTAATATTTGTTATATTGAATTTAATCTTCTGTTATGTTTGTGTATCATCCATAAATAGCGAAAGCACCAATATTGAATTTTATTTGAGAATTGTATGAAACTCCACTCAACGTAGAATGACAGCGTTTCAATAGCGAATTGTATGAGTGGCAGAAGGCATTCCTGTACAAACACGATCAATTAAAACTGTTTCTTCTTGAGGGAGACTTTGTTTTACGCTTAACTGCACGAAAGAGATGGAATTATAAATTATGCAGAAATCTGCATGTTACACCTATATGTGGAAGTTTGTAAATAAATGGCCTCTGTGCCAAGGAATACTATTTTCCTTTTTGGCGCAAAGTTCCATTTTATCTGTAGAAATATGGGTAAAACACTCGAAATCTTGAAGGGGACAGTGCCTGTAATTTAGTAAATTTATTCCTAGGTACGTTTACGAGGATAAGAGATAAATATTCCATTTCAAATAAAAGAAAAGAAGCGCAGTCAGGATAAAAGCAAATTTACGTTAGTATTAATTAACAAGAGGCGTAGTGGACAATGATTTTTGTACAGCTGACAAAATATAGCCGAATAAGAGTTTAGTGTGCTGTAGCTGCGAACATTATTTCCTTTTAGTACAAAATGCGTTTCAACTGTTGCAAGTTGTCACGTTCACTTTTTCTAGTTTCTAGATATAAAAAATTACAGTAGCCTATATCCTGCAGCGCGTACGATTTCAATATTTATCACAATTATATTGACAATTAAAAACAGGGACGGTGCAGAGCTCCCTGGTCCATAAAAAATTTGTGAATTTTTGGGGGTGCGTAATTTCATGGGGATATACGGGTACTTATAAAATTTATAATTTATTTATTTGGCCCTGCACAATTGTTAAACTCGACCCCATGAATGTTCGTGCCGGTCCTAACTAAATGACTCTGATAGAAAACAAAGATCGCGTCGATAATTATTGAAGAAATTGAAGTTGATACGCGCTGTATTTTGTGAACCAAAACAATATATAGACAAGGTATTAAGAATAAATTGTACAATAAAGAATTAATCCAATAATTAGGCAGTACACTTAGTCGCGTCTCAGTACTGTATATCCAGGGCAAGAGTAATTAGCATATTATTTATGTCCCTTGTACATGTAAGTTACAAATGAAAAAAAAAAACGAATTGCTGAGTGACAAAATACATCATAACAGAAACATTTTACTTTATTGCTTGTAATAATTTTTGTGTGCCTTATTATCCTTGTTTTCTCTTTTTTAATCTATCAAACTGTATGCTATGTATTAAGATTATTTCCAATGTTTTCGGTATTGAAATTCGTTAATGAAGTTTTATAAAATGAATTTAGATGTATTAAAAAACTGTGTGACAATTTTATTTATAATTTACAAATAATATTATTTACGTAGACAAAACGTACATTGTCTTATTTTATTTGTACATAAATTATCAGCTATAATATGAATGTATTCGCCACTTTTGATCGCTTCGTACTTTTTCGCAGTTTTTCGTTCTTGCTCGACATAGATTTACGGCTTCGCTAATTTATAAATGAAATGAATTATTAAACGAATAATTAGAAGAAAAAGAATGTTAAAGATAATTACTCACAGGATCGTTATCATCCGATATTAAATCCTTCTCCGTACTTTTTCGTTTTTTTTCAATTGATGTTTTATGTTTCTTTTTAGTTAATGTTTTATCACCAATAACTGGCATTTTATCGAACAACACATCGTATTCTGAATCTGTATCCGAATCTCTTTGTATGTTTTCTTGTTCTTCTTTAAAACGTTCATCGATATCAGTACGTTTTCGTATACTTTCTTCATTAGTCTTTTCTGTCGGTAATGAAAATCCTGAACGTAATAACATACAAGACATTCTCGATGTCAGATACACCTATAATGTATAAGTACGTAAATATAGAATGAAGGTAACCCATTTTCCTTTTCATTAAATTTGTAGTTTTACCTTTTTCAATAATTTCTTCGTATCTATATGATGTATTCGTAAATACCTATCTAAACTAACGCTAACAACGTAAGGTTCATTTGTACTGCAAGCTATTCCAGTTACGCTACCAACAAATCCCTTGTAAGTATTTAATGCTTTAGCTGGTTTTCTTAAGTCAACAAGATTCATACTGCCTTTTCCAGATCCAACTATAACTTGCCTGTAATTATATCAACATATTTTTTTTTTATTTATGTCAGAAACAATATATACTGTACGTACTATATACAACTTATACTTACTTTTCTCTTGGCATAGTGCTTAAAGTTGTTAATGCTTCATCTTTCATTTCTAAATTTATAACAGGTCTCCTTTGTACTCTTGGATCATACAAACGAACCTTTAAAAATTCAAATTAATTCTTAGGGATTACAAGTTGATGATAATGAAGAGCTATCATAACATTATTTAATATAGTTAACAAATATCTTACATGTCCAAATCTACCAACAGTAACAATTTGTTCTGTCCCAGGAAGAAACTCTATATCAGAAATCCAAATTGGAACCCTTAATTGCAACCAATCATGGGGCATATTTTTTTCTATGAATATTTGTTTCTGCTTTTCTAAATCGAATAACTTTAAGTTGTGTTCGTAACCTCCAGTTGCTATTATATTTTTATTTATTTTTGAATGACGCATTCTATTCAAATTTTCACCAGCTTTTATGATGATTTCATCTTCTTCCTTAAATCTCCACAGTTTAATTTCTCCAGATTTAACAGCAGTCAGAATTGCTCTGTTAAGAAACATTGTATTAATAAAATAGATATTATGACGTTACTTAAACAAATTTTTAATAACTTACCCATCATATCGTGAAATACCATTAATTTTCCCAGTTCCAATATTGCAAAAGAAAGAACATGTAAAGGTTGAACATTCTGTATCGTAAACCTTTATGCTGTAAAAATAATAGATGTTATTAACCTTTAAAAGCAAGCAATTACTTTAACTTAATCAAGTTGGTAAATTACTTATTATATATAACCTCCTAATCCCTTTCACTCCACAAGCAATTAAAACTTCTTTCTCCTCAGTATCGCCCCATGACATTGTAGTAATTTCATCATGATCTGTTATTGATACCAAGTTTTGAATATTTTGCATTACATTTTCCTGTTGTCCAATTTTAACACCTGTACATAAAATTATACAATTAAATTCATAGATCTTCATTATCATCAGTATATGCATATTCTTAGATATAAAAGATCTTGTTAAATATAAGAAACATAACCTTTTAAATATAGTATAACAAGATAGTGATACAGTAGCAATTCAAATTGTTAGATTTATAATTACCTTTAAAAACTCCTGACTTCCCGCCAACGTAAATATCGAAATTATCCTTCACGTCCATTGTTAACGAAAGTAATTTGTAAACAAAATATAAATATTGATGTGTTGAGGTTAACCATGTGTTGCGTCTATATATTTACAGCAGTTTGGGCAGTCGTGAGATTTTATCTCACGCGAGAGCTTTATGCGCATGCGTCAGGTGACGTCACAGCTTGCTGCCAATGCCGTACCTAGCCGGTACACGCAATGGTGACTGATGAGGGCACCTTAATGATCCTATATAATTTTTCAAAAATTCTTATAATTGCACTGTAAACTATGAATGTATAGGTTGAGTTAGATCACATTAGGCTGGGTTAGGTTAGTTATATATATGACTGTATAAAACTATACAACTATATATATATATATATCGTGAATTATATAATATAATATAATGGGAATAATATGATGGAATATGGGAGATTATTATATTTAAAATAACACAAAAGCACAATAACTTTTAAAACACTAAATGATTTTATTATTTAAGAAAAACGACTTGGAAGGACCTCCTTGAATAATTATATTTTATGCGTGTGAAAATTATAATATCAGAAAAACAATAACAAAGAAATACATGGATTTTATTTTGTTAACATGCATAGATCTGATAAAAATCGAGCGGTATCTTTTTCCTTTGTTCTTGCAACAAATATTGGTATTCATATAACAAATCGGCTGCAAACGAAAAAAATAATAATAATCATAAATAAATTTAATATGACTTTTATTATAGATAATCTGTTGTATTATTTAACCCTTTTATTCTCTTTCCTGCAATTTTCTTCAGATTTATTTTTTTTCCTCACTAGGGCCTAATGATACCTCATATTTCATTAAAGTCTATACGCTACTGAGGACTTCGACGGATAGCTTACTGCGCATGCACTGTGACTACCCAACACTGATCTGCGCGCTACTTAAAAGTAGTTTAAGCCATGCTATCGGACCGACGAGCTAGTCTTTACAGCATTGAAGTGGAGGAAGGATCTCTGCGTTCCATTTAATCAACGTAAGTTTCATTTTTTAATATTACACATATATTTAGTCACAACAATTGTACATTATAAATAGTTATTCAATTTATTATTTTTATAAGTAACATTTTCTGTTTACTAATGTTCTAACTTTCACGTAAAAATATTATTAAATCGTGCAAGAACAATAAATATGTTATTATAAATGCTTTTATTTTTCAGTTCCAAAATTGAATATACACACAATCTGCCTCGATCTTCGACAAAGAATTAAGCCAATAAAGAGTTACATAAATTAAAAATTGTACAAAATATATTTGCCAATTGTATGTATTTATGAAGTTACAATAAATAAACAAAAGAAATCATGTACTTATTTATAATCCTTTCCATTACATTCTTAAACATAACAGACAATCAACAGGTTAGGTCAGGCTTACGGTTAGGTTATATTCGGTGAGGTCAGGTTCCAAGGTTAGGTCGCATTATGTTAGGTCAGGCATACGGTTAGGTTATTTTATGTTAGGTCAGAGCCTAAGGTTAGGTCGGAATAGGTTAGGTCGGGCTTACAGTTAGGTTATATTATGTTAGGTCAAGGCTAAAGGTTAGGTCGGATTATATTAGGTCAGGCCTACGGTTAGGATATGATATGTTAGGTCAGGATCTAAGGTTAGTTCGGACCATGTTAGGTCAGGGACTAAGCTTAGGTTGTATCAGGTTAGGCCTGCAGACCTAACATATATCATTCCCCATGTTACTATTACTATTATCGTGGAAGTATAATTATTATCCTTACTACTCTTATTATCATCAATTTAACCGATATCACTACCCATATTACTACTTTTATTATCGTTACAACTATTATTATTATGCTTATTATTCTTATTATTACCAATATTATTACGCATATTACTACTTTTAT